GTTCAGTCAGACCAAACAAATTACATAAATGTCAATGGCATCAAACAACATTCAAAACTCTTGCTCTTATTTGTTTTCCAGCTCAGTCAAATGCATTTTCTGCAAATATGTTTGGACCTTTATCATGCTCTCAAATAACTATCTTTTACTACAAAAAGAGTCTAAAATCCTAGATAAACCAAAGCTTTGACTCGGCGGTTACAGGAGAAACCAAAGTCCTGACTCCTGAACAAGTTCTCTCTCCAAAGTCTGTTTGTGTTGAATCAGGAAGCAGCACTTCAAGCTCCTCTCCTCCATCTGCTTCCATCCAAAACTATCATCAGAACACAGAAACACATGTAACATCAGGTCCAGTTCTGAGATGTTCAATCTTTGTACCTCTAACTCAGAAATCATTCTCAGAAGATCACGGCACTGCTCCAGCATCAGCTTCTCTTGTGCGGCCACTTCCGCAAGTTGAGATGCAAGTGGAGCAATATCCTCCATCTGCTTAATGGAAGATCTTACATTACTAAACCACCTAGCTAGATACAATTATCATGTCATTTTTTTCCTCAGAGTCGAAATAACCTACCATGGGAGCAAAACTATTCATAGTTGACATGATAGCATCAGTGACTGCTTCTACTTTCTGAAATGAAGCCACAGCCGATTCTATGTTCACCTGAAAACCTCACGAGTTATTGGAAAGCAAAAGAGTCACAAAAAACAGATGAGCATGCTCTCATTTACCTTCGCACCTTCCCTTAGGGGAAGCCTGGAAAGAGCAGAATGCAGGGCTTGTCTGGTCATGGACAAAGATGAAAAGTGCTGTGTTTCCATGTCCTCCCAAGCTTCAAGATGCTCAATCTGTTTCATATATATTTCGTATCAATCCTATTTGGACTTGCTTCGAAGAGAACAGCAAGGCATCCTCTGTCGCTTGGAATTACCGAATTAATAAATGGGTTTGGACCTGATACTTACTTGAGAAAGAAGCACATGATCCAGCTTCATCTCCAAGTTTTTCTTCAGCAGTTTAATTCTCTCTTGCAGAACCAAATGTTTTAACTTGGTAAGAGTATCCCACGCACAGAGTACTTGTTTCTACAAAGGTTCCATTAAGCATTCATAATAGAGATCTTTTCTTTCTTTCATCCTGATAAGCATGAGTAGAGGTGATGAACGTAACTGCAGAAAGTAGAAAATCATTACCTTTTCTCGGGAGGCGACATTATTGTTTGCAACCGAGGCTCTAGCATTGACAAACCTCCACTGAACCAACCGATTGTTCATAAGCTTCAGCTGATGAGCAGCTTCTGCGTCACATGTCTTTGGTTTCAATGGTGAAGAAAAGGGAGAAGGCTTCTTCTTGCTCCTGAAGAAATCAAAACCAAGGTTGAACAGTTTACCAACGCCTTTGCCTCTTGGAGGTTTCAAGTTTGAACTTGGAATTGTCACGGCCTGAGTTTCCAACGATCTTCCTGGTGACAACGCCCACTGAGACATCGAACTACCATACCTGGCCATTGAATTAGTCCTCTTCATCATATTCTCAATGCCTCTAAAGCTGTTACCTTTCTTGGAATCTTCTTGTGACCTTAGTTTGGTCATATTGTTGTTGCCTTGTGACGACCCTCCTCTGCTAAGTCTTGCTCTTGAATCATGCAGGTATTTAGAAGAGACCTTGATACCAGGTTTATGGCTCCGGGATGAACAATTTGTGCTAAGAGTTGAAGCAAAGGACACATCACTCAGCTCAGAATCTGATTCATCGTTATAGGACTCATATAGTAGAGAGCATGAGTTTCTCCTGGATGTTGTTGCTTTGTACAATGCACATTCATCGACAGAAAATCTGCCTGGAAGTATGACATTATCCTCATCATCGATCCATGGTGAAGAAGGCCTATGATTTTCTTTTGTGTCAACTTCCAGTCCACTGGATTCTACACTAGACCTATTTTCATTTGGGAACCCTAAACAAGCGCGTGTGCTATCAGACATCCGATCATGGTTTTTCAGCCCTTTAATCCCATTGTTGTTGTGACCATCTCTCTTGGCAGATGAATTAGAAGTGGAGTTTCTGCGGTTAGGAGAAGAAGATGAAGAGGATGGAGAGAGGAAACGTGAACTAACCTCGCGGGACTTTCCTCTTCTTGTTTTGAGTTGCTCAAGGGAAGCCTGTTCATGCTCACAGCTCTTCATTGTTACTCAGCTTCCTGAGAAAGAGAACAAGAGAAGGAAGCATGTAAATCTTATTAGAGGATACAGAGAATCTTTTTAACTTTCAAAAAAAGAAACAAACTTTTGAAAGTCCCCAACTTTATAGGGTTTATGGTTATTCAGTTAAACTTAATCTGATTCCCTTTGAAGCAAATATCTACAACAATTTTTTTGTATACAACCAGAGAACAGCTGATCCTTCATTGAATTTGAATATCACATTCACAACAGTAAGTGATTGGTGCTTGAGCATACAAAACTCTTGCAAGTGTCTCTGTGACCAAATGTGGAAGAGTAAGTAAAAACCTATGAATCCTAAGATATCAATGAAAATTGCACTGTTGCATAAAAGGGTGACTGTAATCAACGTATTTCTCCCACAAAGGTTTGTACTTTTCTATCCCGATCTTCAACCACGGCTTTAAGTTTCCATTGAAGTGCAGAACAGCTCCTTTCTCTATCACACGAGCATCCACATTGGTGTATCCCAATCCCAGGATATGCCATGATGCCTCTAGCGCCTCTGTTAACCCATAAAATGTCAGAAGTCCTGGAGGCAGTGTCCCTAGCTTCCATAAGGTCCGGTCCACGTTCTTTTCTTGCCAGTAGTGGTATATGCCGGTCACATTTCTCTTCCTCCATTCAACTAAATCAAATACGTTCATCCCAAACGCCCACCCACACGCATCTGGATCAAAGTGGGAGCGAATCAGAGGATGTGAATAGTTCAAGTACTTGTGATAGCGGTGGAACGTCTCCATGCATGTCTCAACAGCCCCGTTCACATTTCTGTTTAAATCGATTGAAAAGAGAGCAGAAAGGTCCTTCTGGACTACAACGTCATCATCAAGAAAGACCATCTTCTTCAGCGCAGGAAACACTTCAGGGATGTAAAACCTGAGATGGTTGAGCATCGAGAGATACTTTGGGTTTCTGAACTTGATTGGTGTTCGGCCATCGTCGTTGTGTCCAGAGAAATAGTAGCTTTGCGTATCAGAGTCTTGCAGCTGCTTGAGGACTGGAACATAGGAAGCATTGAGCCATTTGAAATCCTCAAACTTCTGAACCTCCACAGTGACTCCTCTGAGGTTGTCCATGTTCATGGCGAACCAGGCCTTCATTGCAGCATAGTTGATCTCATTAGTCACAAGATGAAACACGACTTTCTCAGGGGCCTTGGAGTTGAGAGCAGTCGAATTGACCACAACCGAAGTAGCAATGATGTTATCAGAGAAGACACAGAAATGGTAGAGACTATTATCTGTGAGTTTTGAGCCCACATGGCTTCTCTCCTCGAGCTTTCTCTGTAAATCTGAGTTCTGAAACCATTCGGTAGCGAGACGAACTCCAAGACAGTAAAGACTCTTGGGGACTTCCTCGGCAGCAATCTGTCCATACTTGGAACTCTTTTCGGTGAGGGAACTCATCTGTTCTTGGAGGGACTGAATAGTGGCCTTCAACCTCATGATCATGGTGGCACTGTCGTAGTGAAGCTGCTGGGCTTGGTAAAGCAAAACAGCCATGTCACGGATAGTAGTCTCAGACTCAAGCACGGTCAAAGGGTTTCTGCGAGTGGCAGCAGTGGAGAGAAGCAGCTGTGAGTTACGGATCTGAGCACTAAGGTCCCAAGCAAATTGAAGGTTTTTACTTTCTTTGGCAATGACAACAAAGGCTTTGGCAAGAGCAATCTGGTCGTTAACTTGGCGAGCAACGGAGGTTGGGCTCAGCATTTCTTCAGTCATGTTCATACCCTCAACAAATTTCTCATGACGGTAACGTCGCTGCACAAAGAAAGAGAAGGCTCTTCTAATCTTAGCATAATAATCAAAGAAGGAAAATTCCCCTTTTTAGCCTAACTAGTAAAGTAAAGTAAAGAGCAAGAGAAAGAGATCACCGACAAAAAAAAGGAAGATTGATTGAAAAAAGTAACCTTGGGAATGGAGGGTCTGGGCTCAATCTGACCAGCCTTACTGAGAATGAGAATGAAGAGCATCACCACTATCCCACAGAGCACCCACCACACCACATTTGAGATCTTCCGCCGCCCGGACCGCCGGAAATCGGAGCCTCTCCTCCTCATTGTTTTCCCGAGAGATCTGATTGATGAGTATTGGGATCTGATGAGAAAAGGAAGAAAAAAGCTCAAACGACCATCTTCTTCCAAACCTCGAATCACCTTCTTTAAGAATTACTAAAAAAAAAAGTTTTGTTTATTAGGAAAACAATGTGAAAAGACATATATACCCTCTTCTTTCTTCTTCTGCACAGACAGTCGCACTCTGCTTCCCCTCTCCTCTGAATTGATGTTTGTGACAGTAAGTTGATTACTTTCCCCAAGGAGATTCAGCAGCGGTGCTTTAGCTAAAGCCTGAAATGTCGACGATACTCTCGTCCCTCCGCAAAGCGCCGGATTCGTACAAGCTCCTCCTGCTTTGT